TTCCTGTCATCTTTTATTCTATTTTTAAATTCAACTTGCTTTTTCACAAATATTGGCATATAAGCTAATTATTTTTACATTTTTTACTTTTACAAAGAAAAAAATTATGAGCACTTAAGTGAGTTCTTAGCAATTGAACTCCTCTGCTGAGGCTACCCAGGTGCAGGGTTAGTCATTAAACACGTCATAAGGGGGGGAATATCCCTTTAAAATGCAAATATCATCTGGGAAAGCAACTGTCTTAACTTTGCAATAAAATGCAATAGAAATAAACACAAAGGCAGCTTCTCAGAAAAAAATCCTGTGCAAAACACAGAACTGAGAAATCTTTTATAAACCACCTTCTTCCTTCTCAGCACCTTTAAAACAGTTGACTGAATACCCACTTGAACGGATGTTGACAAACAAGTCACCATTTTATTTCTCAAATGTTTCCAAGTGTCAGCAGGCCTTCGGCTTTATGGTGTAAAGATCTTACATTCATCACTGAATGCATATGTCTGTTCCTTTTGACAGCTGTTTCGTCCAAATGTTATTCTCTCTGTTTTACCTTACTTTAACCTAAGTGATACAAGTATGATTTTTTTATCCCTGACTATTGATGGAATATCAAGAGTAAAACTGACTTCTCTGCTACTACCTTATACTTGCTCAGATAGCCTCATGCTGTCTTGTTAGGTGTTAACAAGAACATGTCCTTGCAACAGAGAGAATGCCCAAGTGTCCCTGAGCACTAATTCTGTCTCCAACTTTCAAGTGTCCAGAAAGTCCCATTTCCCAGCAGTCCTCTCCCTGACCCTGACCTAATAGCCTTATGTCTGAAGCAACTCTGGGTATAGACCACGGGTCAAGATTCCAAATCCATTTTACTGTAGCTTCCTAAGCTGCTTTGACGTTCTTAGGCCAATAACTAATAATCTGGTGAAATTAATTGAATCTGTTTCTACTGCTAAGCTTTATGTTAGTCAACTGTTCCACCATCAATCATTTACTCAAACAAACATTCTGTGAGGATTATTATTCATCAGTACAGGTGATATGCTAATGATGATGAAGAAAGAAACTAGATGGTCCCTGCCCACAAGTTGAACATATTCTTATAAAGGGATAAGAAAATTCATGGCAGTTTTACCTGGTAACAGGTGCAGTGATGAAGGGGCTCAAGGGTACTGTGGCAACACCAGGGGCTGGAGTATGGAGGGGTGTCAGAGCAGAGCTGGGAGGTGCAGGGGGAATTCTGTATGGCATAGAATTGGGGTTGGGGTGGATTAGACCTATGTATTTGGGAATAAGTTATATATTAAAAATATTATTTCTCCTGTATGAATGCATCTCTCCAAGTCACAGCATTAGGAAATAAATGGAAATCTCACACAATCTTATATATTTTTAAATAAGGCTATATCTGTGTATATACTAAAGTGAACACACATAGAAAAACTTATATCTGGCTTACCTTGTACAACTTCAGAGGTCTGGATGGGACCTGTGATAATATTACAGTATAGTATTAGGATTGAGAAGAACTTGAGCCATCTAGACTAGGGTTTCTCAACCTTGGTCCTACTAACGTTCTGTACTGGATCATTATGGGGGGCGGGGGTCTGGTGAATTGTAGGATGATCAGCAGCATCCAGCCTCTACCTACTAGATGCCGATTGCACCTACCCTCCCACCACAACTGAAACTATCACCAGACATCGCCATATGTCTCTGGAGGTGAGGACAAAATCACCCCTGGCTGCGAACCATTGTTCTAAATCAATATGCTTTTTTTTTACTAGAGGGAAAACTGAGACCAAGTTAAGAGTAAATGACTTGCCCAGCTACTTAGCGGCAAAGACAGATAAAACCCAGTTTTCTGATCCTAGTTCCATTTCCCTTCCATAACACCAGAAGATGCTCAGGCACCTTTCAGACTTAAGTTTTTCTTCCTCTTCCAGCCTCTTTGTTGTTGTAGAGGATCTACCACTGCTTTGTTTGCAGAAGAGGGTTAAGAAGAATCCTGAGCTCAGCTTTAGCACTGAGGTGAAACCCTAGCATGCAATTTGTGAGTATGGCAGCATAGAGCCACACGTAAAAAAGCAGGACATATTTAAGTCATTCAGAAATTACTTGAACAAGTAGTTATTGCTTCTCAAGTGACTATAATCATTCTTAACCAAACTCCCTTTATAGCTGCTACAATTTATGCCAACTAACGGCGTCAAACATCAGAAATGACCAAACTTGGGCCGGCCCGGTGGCGCACTGGAGAGTGTGCCGCTTGGGAGCGTGGCGGCGCTCCCGCCGAGGGTTCGGATCCCATGTGGAGACCGGTTCCCGCTCACTGGCTGAGCGCAGTGTGGGCGCAACACCGAGGGTTGCGATCCCGTTACCGGTCAGTAAAAAAGACAAAAAGGAAAAAAAAAAAGAAATGACCAAACTTTATATGAACTCAGTACAGCTCTCCAGAGCATGCTTTTCAAATCTATGGTCATCTCTCACCAGTTCTCCTAACACTAAGCCTACCCTCCTTGGGAGCGCGGCGGCGCTCCCACCGAGGGTTCGGATCCCATGTGGAGACCGGTTCCCGCTCACTGGCTGAGCGCAGTGTGGGCGCAACACCGAGGGTTGCGATCCCGTTACCGGTCAGTAAAAAAGACAAAAAGGAAAAAAAAAAAGAAATGACCAAACTTTATATGAACTCAGTACAGCTCTCCAGAGCATGCTTTTCAAATCTATGGTCATCTCTCACCAGTTCTCCTAACACTAAGCCTACCCTCTGTGGCTACAGTGATCTGAAATTGGCCTCTATCTGAACCTCTGGAATCTAGTAAACTAGATTCATGGCACTACCATCTTCATTCCTCCTGTTTAATATTTAGTCTACCCCTTTCTGCATAACAATGAAAGTAGGTAAAATGCCTGCTTGGATTTTGCATTTTTTCAGTATGAATAAAAAGGCCTATGAATTATTCAGATTGTGATGAAATTATTTTCAGTGTGGTGCAAGTTTATAGGGGTAAGAGAAAGGAGATTGGACCAAATATTTACAAGAACAGAAGACAAAATTTGAAACAAGAAAGACAATGTAATATGCTATCTCCTTTACTACATCCCTTTTATTTAATCTTGTATTTCATTTCGCTCTACTTTGTTTTTTCTAGGGTATGTATACATAAAATTGTCATTTACAAGCTTAAATATGACCTGGAAATCTTTGTAATAAAAAATCCAAAACTCACCCTAGATTTAAATTTGGTGACAACCAAAAATATACATTCCGTCTGGGGTGACCCAAGATTATCAGGTAGCCAACAGCAAGATCCTAAGAGGTCCCTAGGCCAATACCAGGGGATTTCTTGAGTGATTCTAAATTGTCAGACAGAGCTGGATATAAGTTTACCTATGTGTGTTCACTTTATTATATACACAGATATAGCCTTATATAAAAGTATATAATTTATTTCCTAATACTGTGTCTTGGAGAGCTGTATTCATGAAGGAGGAATAATATTTTTAATACGTAACTTATTCCCAAATGCATAGGTCTAATCTACCCCAACCCCTATTTTAAAAGAAAATAGTACCCTGTGCATCAAGAAAAAATATCTGAAAGTACTACTATCGTAATAATACATTGAATTCAAAGAATACCAAATACATGAATCTAAGCACAGGGAAAGACTGTTAGGTCCTAATATTACAGAATATGAGTGTTAATTGTGTAGTGAAAATTTCTTTATCTCATGTTAAATAAATCTTATGTAATTATAAACATATTTAAGAACTTAGATTAGAAGAAGGGGGGTTGCTGTTATAGGATTTTGTCTATGTGCCTAAAATCATAGGAAGCCCAAAGCCAATCATGAAAGCTAAAATAATTATTGTAATCATTTTATGTAACTTGGGTTAAAGAACACAGTTGTGAGAGAAAGCCCAGAGTTGGGGCTGGGGGCAGAGGGTACCCATCACCCATCAAGGTGCAGACTGGGTTCCTTCCCTCCTCCCCTTCCCACCCGCACTGCCATCAGTCGCCTGCTCCCCTTTACTTTGCTGTGTCCCTCCTCCCCACTCTTCCTTCATCTTAACATAGGATTTCCTGAGCTTCAAGTTTATGCTGCATCGAGCCATCTCGCACCTGGAATAGTAACATTCATCCTGTGTGTTGGCAGGAAGAAGAAAGGGGGAAAAAGGGGAAGAGAAAGAGAAGAATGTTGGGGAAGACTAGCTGATGGGAGTTGGTGGGGACAGAACTGGTCACTCCCAGGCAGAGGGACAGGGAATCTTAGGCATGGGGAAGTGTAATCTAGTCTTTCAGTTCTTATCTGTGAATTTTCTCAGAAGGCAAAAGCTTTTAAAATCATTCAGCTTTTTAAAGAAACACTGACAGCCAATTTGTAAATTATTTACTATTCATATGCTATTACTACTCAACATAAAATATCATATGGATTATTAAATCACGTTAGGTTGCCTTTGCTGTCTCCTCTCATAGCGTATCTACTTAGGAGTGCGTAAGCCTAAACCATCAGAGGAAATGTTGGTCTGACAACTCTGACCTCAACCTCTGACCTCAGTAATTTCTTTGGCTTTAGTAAAACTTTGGGTGATAAAGATATTCCAAAAAATTACCTGCATAGAAAACAGAAGATTCCATGTTGTCCTATTTCTGGATTTTTAATTAATTAAAAACAAAGAGCTATGTTAGGAACCCGAGGTTCCAGGCCACTGTCTGTTACTAACCGGCTGTTTGATATTGGATGGTTGCTTCATCCCTGGGGACTCCACCATCCTCATCTGTGAAATGACTTCTAACATAAATAACTATTAATCTAAATATTTCTTATTTACATGAAACCAAGGCTCTGAACTGAGCATTACAGTCATTAATAGTGTGTGAGGAGATTTGTAAAATAATATATGTTCTAGATCTATCAATTCTGGCTTCCTGTTTCTGCCATAAACATGTAAGTATGAGTTGCTTAGACAAATAAAAGTATATTTTCTCATTTCAGATAATAGGTTTTACCAGTCCCTGGATGACGTGCTTGGGGAGTCATTAAATGCCATAACCTACCATCATTTCAAAGAAGAGAAAATAGATGGTTTTGGAAAGTTCATGCTATTTCTTCACTGAATTTTAGGTGAGTGCATTTAAGACAAAGAATTTAAGCTGGACATTGAACTCTTTCCCCTTATAGTGCTTTTTCCTTTGCTTATAAAGAAAATGGGGTTAAATCTTGTCTATTCCTTTCAGTTTTGTACTTTTAGTGAAGTGCCAGAAAATGAAAAATTTAGTTTCTTTCTTTTGTTTATTTTAGAAATTATTATCAGAACCATCTAAACTACCAGGTGTGCAACATAGAACTGGTCCTGACATCTCTCCCTGGTTTCTACTGAACAAATGTCATAATATTTCATTCTGTTCTAAAGATTATCTATTTTTAAAAATATAGAATATGTATTTAATATCAGAGTAATAAGCCGAAATCAGACAAAAACATGTTTTAATGTCATAAACTGAAGAAAAAATTTATGGCAATAATGGTGGTTTAATCATTAACAAGTCTATTTGTGCGATAAGGATAACATGTCAGAAGCTGCCCATTGGGAGATTTTATATTGCTTAAATTAAGCGTAGGACATGGTTAAGGTCAGGTGCACAAAATTTTTAAACCACAATTAAGCATACTCACTCATTCACACATTAAGCTTTGTTTTGCCTTTCCATAAAAATGGATGAATAACTGTATTTTACATTATCAAACATAATTACCCTTCCGTGCTACAAAAGACAAGAGTGTGCAGACTGGTGATTTACTATTAGTCTGAAATACACCATCGTTGTTTTTAGCAGAACTTTTAGGAGTGGAGAAATTGAGTGGTGGTCATATTGAGGAAATTGTGTGGCTTTCCGCATACTCCTAAGTCCAGTTTTCAAAGTATGATTTTATTATCTACCTTGAAGAATCGTGATTTCCAAACAATCCACGAGAATATGTCATACCTGTGTTCACCATTCTGAATAAAACAATGCACATGACAGAGCAATGACCACTGTCTAAACCTAATCTGAAAAGCAGGGTTGCTTCCATTATACTTTTGATTAATTTCAAAACTAAGGTGGATAATTCTCTCATAAGCTGTAGTGTGTGTACATTTAGTTTATTGAAATTTTATGTAGAACCAAAATGGTCATTTCATTTATTACGAAGTGTTTGTTGAATGCAATTCCCAGGAGCTAAACTTAGTGACTGACTTCTATGGGCTGTGTTTTCCAGCCCCAACCTTCCCTTGCCTCCAGCTTTCCTCAGTGACCTTGAACCCTGACCTCCAGTAAAATCATCTCTTCTCTTTGGCCCTGGAGAATTGCGGGTGGTAGTACCTTTGGCTTCTTGTGGCTGCTAATCTTCAGGTTGATTCACTGTCCCCAGCTTGGCGTCTCAATTCTTCCATCGTCTGTATAACCATGTCCCTGGATTAAATCCCATCCATTTTAAATACTTAGAATGTTTTCTCTTTTCTTGGTTGGATCCTAATTAATCTATCAATCCTTCATTAATTTCTTCCAAAATTATTGAAAGAAAAGTGAAGAGGGCTTACTTCCTTCTCCCCAGGAAAACATAGTTCCCATGAAATAAATTTAAATGTAAATATAAAGTTGGGGCCGGCCCAGTGGCGCACTGGAGAGTGCGCCGCTTGGGAGTGTGGCGGCGCTCCTGCCAAGGGTTCGGATCCCATGTGGAGACCGGATCCCGCTCACTGGCTGAGCGTGATGCGGGCGCAGCACCGAGGGTTGCGATCCCGTTACCGGTCAGTAAAAAAGACAAAAAGGAAATAAATAAATAAATAAATAAATATAAAGTTGGGTAGGTTTTTTTACTTATAAAATGCTTTATGTTAAAACATTAAGATGTAATATATATACACAATAGGGTACAATCAGGTGTATATCTCAATGAATTTTCACAAAGTGTAGACTGCCTAGCAGTTCAAGAAGCAGAACGTTACCAATGGCCCCAGAAGCCCCACTCATGCCCCTCCCAGCCATTCCTCCCACGGAGGAAACCACTACCCTGGCTTATATCACTGCTGATTAGTTTTGCCTATTCTAGGATTTCATCTGATGAGTGTCATCAGTGTGTCTTGTAGCAGTAGATCATTCTTTTTTTTAATTAATAATCTTCATTTGTAGAGTAACTTTAGATTCACAGAAAAATAGAGTGAAAAGAACAGAAAGTTTCCATGTATTCTCTGCCCCCACACATGCATAGCCTTCCCTATTGTCAATACCCCCCTCCAGAGTGGTACATTTGTTACAATCAATGAACATACATTGACACATCATTATCACCCAAAGTCCGTAGTTTACATTGGGGTTCACTCTTGTTGTTATACAGTCTATGGGTTTGGACAAATGTATAATAACATGTATCCACTGTTAGATTATCATTCAGAATCGTTTCACTGTCCTAACAATCCTCTGTGCTCTGCCTATTTATCCCTCTTTCCCCCAATCCCTGCACCCACTAGTCTTTTTACTGTCTCCATGGTTTTGCCTTTTTCAGAATGCCATATAGTTGGAATAATACGGTATGTAGCTTGTCAGACAGGATTCTTTCACTTAGTGGTATGTGTTTAAGTTTCCTTCATATCTTTTCATGGCTTAACAGCTCATTTGATTTTAGTACTGAATAATATTCTATTGCCTGGGTGTACTATATCATATTTATTTATTCACCTTCTGAAGGAAATTTTGTTGCTTCCAAGTTTTGGCAATTACGAATAAAGCTGCCCAAAACATCTGTGTTGGTTTTTGTGTGGACATAAGTTTTCAATTCATTTGGGTAAATACCAAGGAGCATGATCGTTGGATCACACAGTAAAAGTAGTTTTGTAAGAAAATGCCAAGCTGTCTTCCAAAGTGGCTGTACCATTTTGCATTTCCACTGGCAATGAAAAAGTATCCTATTGTTCCACATCCTCGTCAGCATTTGGTGTTGTCAGTGTTTTTGAACTTTGCCATTCTGATAAGGGTGCAGTTATTGTTTTAACTAGCAATTCCCTAATGACTTATGATGTTGAACTTCTTTTCATATGCTTACTTCCTATCTGTACATCTTCTTTGGTAAGGTGTCTGTTCGGGTCTTTGGCCCACTTTTTAATTGGGTTATTCATTTTTTTTTTATTGTTGAATTTTAAGAATTCTTCGTATATTTTGGATAACAGTCCTTCATCTCATGTGTCTTTTGAAAATATTTTCTCTAATTTGTGGCTTGTCTCCTCATTCTCTTGAAGGTTGGGGGTTTTTTTTCCACTGAAAACATTTTAACTTAATATACTTAATACCATATTCTAAGCTACACAGTATTATAGCATTAATTTGTTGCTGTTAACAAAACCATTGTCAACTTTTCCATTTTGCATATCAAGTTAATTGGAAGTTTTTAAAATTCTTAGATATATCTCAAGTATTATTTTATTTTTTTTTTATATTCATACTTCACAGACCTTGGTATGTAGAATATAAAACTTCTACTTACGGCATCAGTTTCATTCTGGCATTTACATTTAAATCTAGAGCTTCTGATTTATTTCATTCCAAGTCTTTTCACCTACGGTTGAGGGATCTGACCTCTCTCTTTTGGTAATAATTGTTTGCTCCTTGAAGATGCCTTCTGATCTGAACATTTCACATTTCCTATAACAAATACTGAATATATTGGAAAGCAAAGTTATCAGGATGCCAGTGTCTGTCTTTTCTGGCAGGTAAACAATTCACCCTGTCTCAACAATCCCATTCAATTCTAAAGGGCTTCCTTGGTATTAAAGCAGATTTTCACTTAATCATTTTGGTACTTCACTTAGTTACTTTAAATGTAATTGCCTTGCTATTTTCATTTCCTTCTCATTTATTTATGTAGACATTTTCCTTTTCAGTCTTTTCTCAGAGGTCATCATGACTGCTCATCTGTCCATTTTAATGTACTATGGTTTTACCCGAAAGGACATGGTGTCCCTTCCATCAATGATTTTCGTCTATTCAACCCATGATAATGTTGAACTCACAATGACTAATTTAGAATGCTTTCAGACGATGTTCAAATACCATTATGGGTGGAATTACTTGGATCCCTTCATAATTCTGAAGTTGGGGAACATAGGAATGAGCAGCTTTATGATAAAGGTTGTGAATAACTGACGTTTCCAAAACAGGTCTTCCTCTTAGTTTGGTACAGCGCTGAAAATTCTAATCATTAACATTTCTTTTCAGCTTATGGAAATGAGACTTTATAAAGTTATACTTTTTAAAATAAATGCCCTTGGGAAGAAAAATACCATTGTACCATTAATCATATATACCACATAACACATATAAGTCTAATGAATTAGCAGAGAAAAGACTCGTGAGGCAGTGGTACAAACACTCAGCTTTGGAGGATTTGGTGCACATAAGTGGGAGGAGGCTGCAGAAATAATCTCACTGACTCCCTAATGTTGCCTGGTGGGTCAAGGGAAGCACTTGTCATCAAAGATAACTCAGGCTGAACAGATCTTAATGTCATATTGGGGGAGAGGAGTAAGAAGAGTAGCGGTGTTCATTCTTACAATAGTGAAGAATGTTGTGATGGGAGATTTTACATCACTGGTGCCCAAATAGTTTAAGAAAGTGCTTTAATCATGATGTAGTCTGCAGTACTTCTGCTGAACCACAGAGTATGATATGAGAAAAAATTAAGTGTTTAAAGGTGGAAATCATCTCTTATTCCTCTTTGTGTTATTGGAAGCTATCACAGTATTTGATACACTGTAGATATTTTCTAAATAAATTGCTGATGAATAATAGCAAAGGTCCAAGGCAATGCTGGCTAATGTTGACTGAGTTCTTACTTTATGCCAGACATTGTTTCATATGCACATATACTGCCTTTCATGCTTAAACATCATTATGACATGGGCACTGTTGTCATCTCCTTTTTTAAAAGATGGGGAAACTGGGACCCAGAGAGGTTAGATAACCTGCCTGAGGTAAAGTAAGCTGGGGGTGAAAATCGAAATCCAGACAGTCTGACTTCAGAGCCCCAGCACTTAATTATTATACTCTACTGCCCCTTATGTAATAAAATCACCAAGTAATTTTAAA